GGGGGAGGGGCAGGGGGAGGGGCAGGGGGAGGGGAGGGGGAGGGAGAGGGGCAGGGGGAGGAGGAGGAGAGGAGGGGGAGGGGGGAGGAAGTTGAATAAGAAAGGCAAAATTCCTTTGTCTATCTTATATCCATTGCTATCATCATATGGGCAAGTAACAGAAAATACATGCTTCTGGAATCCATTAAGATTACATTTCTCCAGTAACAGGACCAAGACCATGCTGATCCTGCTGGTTCTATCAGATGGGCAGAGACAATAGAAGAGAAGATAATCTTGAAGGATTTTGAAGATAATTATCGGCTACCTTGAAAAACACCTGCAAGCCAATTGCCAATCATCACAGCTCAGGTAGTAATGCTGTCGTATGAGCATACAAGGTATACCCATACTGGTTGCACCATCTCACTGTGTGGTCCATTGCAATACTCCAAACAAGAGGCTTAAACTATAAGCATGAGTTTCTCCCCATGCAGGAAATTGAGCAGTTGGTGCATTAGATGAATGTTGTGCAAAGGTCCTAGATACATCTGCCACCTGCTGTTCGATCAAGAGCCATACTTTTCTCTATTTAAATGGGAAAAAAAGTTTATGCTCTTCTATCATATTCAGGTGGAATCACACAGGTTAAGGGAGCAGTTTTATTGAGGTGAGAAAAGAGAATGCTCTGTGTTAAAAATTCTGTTCTCAAACCAACTACAGTATTCCCATTTTAGAAACCTAATATGATCACATAAAAGCAGCTGTGTTTTATGTGTTGATCCTATTTTACTAACATAACTGGTGGAAAAGTACAAGAACAAGGACAAAGGAAAGGTAATCTAAACCACAGGGAATAAACATGCCGAAAGATTTGTCTCTTCTGTTCAGTCCTGCTTGATTGCATTTTACCTCCGTATTTTTTCCTGTTGACAAGCAAATCTTGAAAGTAATAAGTGCTGCATGAATTAAATACATCACAGTTGACTGCTTGGATACTGGAGAAGCTTCAAACCAATCTGGGTTCTATCAATGTGCCGCTATTGATTTCTCTGCCTTGACAGAAAATGACTAAAAAATAAATTATTGGTGGGGCCAGCCTAATAAAAGTTAATTTTCTTCTTACGTCTCTTTCTCATCCAGCTACAATAATGCTGAACTTGTAGACAAATTTACACTTGAATTTTATCAGCAGTGTTAAAACTCTTGTTCAAAGGGCTTTGCCCTGCCTACACTGTCAGAAATGGGGCACTTTGCCTTCAAACCATGTCAATTTGATTTCAACATGGTCCCTAACAGAACACCAAATTTTCTGCTCTTNGGGGGGGGGAGAGAGAGAGAGATGTGAAGGAAGGGAGGAAGCCTATTTCCTCCCTTCTATGTTAATAACTTATGGGGTGAGTTCAATTGAAATTCCCAAGATAAGTGAGGATTCAACCCTCCTCTTTTGAGACATATCATTTAATTTATGTTTTTAGTTTTTATATTTTTTTATCTTTTACTAATGTTAGCAGCCCAGAGTCAAACTGGGAAGGCTGCCCCCAAGGGATGGTCCAAAAGCTTTAAGAGAGAGAGACAGAGCGACAGACAGACAGACACACACAGAGAGAAACAGAGACAGACAGAGACAGACAGTCAGACAGACAGAGAGGGAGAGGGAGAAGGCATTGAACTGACTTGGGGTCAGCTGAGCTGAACCAACCATGAAAAAATCTCCCTGGGTAGAATGTGAAGACATCCAAACAGTTCTTGACAATGGCCAATACATTTTACAAACAAATAAATAAAAATGGGAAACAGGATCTTCATGATAGACAATCATTTTTTTCAACAGATCTGTCCTGGAGCACAAACATGAAGTTTCCAATGGAGAAAGAAAACCTAAGGATCCAGACTCAAAAGCTGCAGAATTCTGCCATCATCAGCCAACCACAGAAAAGTAAGAATTCAGGGAGATTCTCAGCATTCATAAAACCAAGACAGACAGAGACAGAGACAGACAGACAAGAGACAGAGAGACAAGAGACAGAGAGAAGAGAGAAGAGAGACAGACAAACAGAGAGAGAGAGATGGAGAGAGAGAGACAAGAGACAGACAGAGAGAGAGAGAGACAGAGACAGGAGGGAGAGGGAGAGAGAGAAAGAGAGAGAGACACAGAGAGAGAGATGAGACAGAGACAGAGAGACAAGAGACAGAGAGAGAGAGAAGAGAGATGGAGAGAGAGACAAGAGACAGAGAGAGAGAGAAAGAGACAGGGAGGAAGGGAGAGAGAGAGAGTGAAAGAGAGACACACAGAGAGAGACAATAGACAGACAGAGACAGACAGACAGACAGACAGACAGGGACGGAGGGAGGGAGAGGGAAAGAGATAGAGAGAGAAAGCGAGAAAGAGAGACAGAGAAGAAGAGACAGACAGACAGACATACAGAGACAGGGAGGGAGGGAGGGAGAGAGAGAGAGAGAGAGAGAAAGAGAGAAAGAAAGAAAGAGAGAGAGGGAGGGAGGATGAGGAAGGGAGAGAAAAGCAACCAAACTCAGTTTTTTTCCAGTGACAAGTCCAATTCTTCATCTTTCTGTCTTCCTTTTTCACCAGGGAAAACACTGACGTATACCCAGGAATGGGGTACAGGACATCTCCTCATCTGGACCACAATGAGGGTTTTGACTCAAAAAGGTATGGAGGAGAAAGGGGACAAATATCCGAGGACTCTGTCACTAGCCTGCTTCCTAAAAGATTTATATTACAAGTCCTCAACTTAATGACCACAACTGAGTGCACAATTTCCACTGCTAACTAAGCAAGACCTAACAACTAAGCAAGTTGTTAAGAGAGTTTTGTGTCAGAGTTTGTTGCAGAAAAAACAAATCCAGAAAGCACACACAGGTAACTGATTCAGCAGGATTCATTAACTTCTTTATATGCATAACAACACATGAATAAATGTACAATACCAACAGCAGATCCTTCCAACGTGGTAGAAAAAGGAGATCAGTTTCAGTTCAGAGTTCAGAGCAGACAACTCCAGGCTAGTTTTGTTTCACAGCACAGACTCAGAGGCATAGCCATGCCCAGACTCCAGTCTGTTTTCAGTGCCCAAACCACCCTCATTGGCTTGACATAGTTGCTATGCCTATTCATTGGCTGACCTTGTTACCATGCCCTATTCCAGTTCATGAATACTCTGACATTTTGCCCCATTTTACAACCTTTTTGCCAGGGTTGTTAAGCAAATAATTTTTAAGCAATTGTTAAGCAATTGTTAAGTGAAACCTGAAGTCATTAAGTGAATCTGGCTTCCCCCCATTGTTTTTGTTGGAAACCGGATTGGAAGTTTACGAATGGCGATTACATGAGACCAAAACAGTGCAACTGTCATAAATACATGCCACTTTCCAAGCGGATTTTGATCACCTGACTGTGAAGATGCTACCATGGTTGCAAGTGTGAAAACTGGTCATCAGTCACTTTTTTCAGCGCTGTGGTAGCTTCAATCAATCACTAAAACCATGGTTATAAGTCAAGGACTACCTATAACACCTTTATGAAAAAATGCCTGTCATTCCATTTTGAATGAGTCACAGAAGGCTAAAAGGTAAAAAAAAGAAAATAATAATAATAATGTGTTCTGACCCCCTCCTCCGTCCAGTAACGAATGCCGAGACAAGCTTAGCTGGAATGCCACAACACTTTATTAGCTATAAATCTTGGTGGCTGAATGCCCAAACACAAACGAACAGATAAAGAACCTCGGCAGCAACCCAGACTCCGACCGATACAGATAACAGCTTCTCCAGCATTGTCAATTAAGTTGAATCCTGCAAACAGCCTCCTCCCCAAGTCTCTCCTTATATGCTATCTTGAGAGGAGCCTAGTTACAATCACCTGGGTCCAGTTATCTTTTGTATCTGCATAGTTGTTCTTTGTGTCTCTCTGCCCACCATTGCCAGGCGTCCAGGAGCAACTCCGTTGTCTCCTTCCCACTGCTCCAAGGCCTGACGTCAGGGACCAACTCCCTTTGGCTTTCACCACTGCTCCATGCCTCAAGCGCCTCCTGGTGGCCAACCAGCCTCTCTGGTCCCTGCTTGGAGTCGGAACCCTGTCCAGGGTCCTCCACATCTTCCAGAGCTGACTCATAGGGCCCCTCGCTGTCGGAGTCTGTTTGCAGCTCCAACGGCTCCTGCTGGGCCACAACACATTTTTATAAATTTTTCTCCGAATTTCATCTCGTCCAATAGCGTTATTATAGATTTTCAGATTACGTTTTCAAATGCTTTTTGTGCATCAAGGAAAACCAGTACCATTTGTTTTTCTGGATGCACCTCATAATGCTCTATTATGTCTACGATGACTCTCGTATTATTTTTAATGTGTCTGTGAGGTAAAAATTTATAAAAATGTGTTGTGGCCCAGCAGGAGCCATTGGAGCTGCAAACAGACTCCGACAGCGAGGGTTCCTATGAGTCAGCTCTGGAAGATGTGGAGGACCCTGGACAGGGTTCCGACTCCAAGCAGAGACCAGAGAGGCTGGTTGGCCACCAGGAGGCGCCTGAGGCATGGAGCAGTGGTGAAAGCCAAAGGGAGCGTGCTCCTGACGTCAGGCCTTGAGCAGTGGAGAGGAAACAAGGGAGGTGGTCCTGAACACCCGGCAGCGGCGGGCAGATCGACGTAGAAAACAACTACGTGGATACAGAAGATAATTGGACCCAGGTGGTTGCAATTAGGCTCCTCTCAAG